AACCTCCACATTTCCTGAAAATTTAGATGCACTCGGCAGGTAGCGTCAGAAAGCCGTGTGTGTTATTCTGGTCACAAAATGTGGTGAAAATCCTACACGACGGTAATAGTTTGATTGTGGTGCTAACATGTTTACACTCGGTGTAATAGTTCATTCGATACGAACTAACTTTGCCATCTGAATAAACAAAGAGCACTGGTCGCTCACTTACCAAATCTGTAGAGACAGGGCAATCAACAGCAACTGGAGCCGCATCTTTATTAAGAGTAGACGAGCAGCGAATTCGGACCTCACCATTTCCAGATGAGAAAAGCTTTTGGGGTAAACAATGTTCCTTAGACACGCATGAAACATCCACACGTGAGTCCAGCTGCGCTCTCATAGAGAAAATGAAAACAAAACCTTCACTGCAGCAAATTATAAAAGCAACACTGCACGCTTGTTTTGCCAACACAACGTGGTGTCTCTCTGCCGTATGAACACTGTAACATTAATGAATATTAATAAAGTAGCACAATAGAGCGCGCTGATTAGTTTGAACCAAGCCTTACTCAAGCATTAATGCAGCACACTCAGAGACGTAATAAGGCACTCTCAGGTACAGACGTCCAGTCTACATGCTGAAATACAAGCTAAGATCTCATGGCCGTGACGCAGCTTTAAAAATTAGTTTCAAACCGGAAGTACGAATTTGCTCGAAATAACGCCAAAACAACCAATTTTCACTTTTTAGTGAGATATATGTGTCCTAATAGTGTTTTTAGCAGTGTGGGACACATATATGACTGTCAACAGCTAAAAAAAAATGTGTTTTCGTGTTTCGTGACCCTTTAAATGATCATTTGAATTCGCCACAGCGGAATGAACCACCAACTTATACAGCATATGTTTTACACACCGGATGCCCTTCCAGCCTCAACCCAGTACTGGGAAACACCCATACACACTCATTCACACACACTAATACACTACGTCCAATTTAGTTCATCAATTCCCCTATAGCACATGTCTTTGTACTGTAGGGGAAACCGGAGCACCTGGAGGAAGCCCACGCCACCACGAATGTCACAATCACCAGCGATCTAGTCCATGCAGATCGCTGGAGAACTACAAATCTGCCAGCAAAAGAACTACAAGGTCCAATCATGCACCACTCACACACCTGGCCTTGATCCTGTCTGATTGCAGGTACTCACAGCTGAAGCCGCGCATGAACTAATTACATGGACTATAAAGTCAGCACACAAACACACAGAAGTTGCTAAGTCTTGTTGAACAGTTTTGTGAACATTGCGACGCATTTTCCTTGCCTTATCTTGCCGTGTTTTTGACCCTCGCCTTGTTTGTTTGTTTACGTTGCCTGCTGCCTGCCTACACTGACTATCGCCTGTGTATTTTGACTACCACTCTGGATTTGCCTACATACATCTGTTTGCCCCTTTGTACACCGTTGCTTGCCGGACCATCTCTGTATAATAGACCCTGCGTACGTATCCTCACTCCCTGTTGTCAGCGTCCCCACTTCACATTACTACAGGGAGAACATGCTAAGTCCACAAAGTAATGCCAACTGACCCAGCCGGACTCGAACCAGCTACCTTCTTGCTGCGAAGCAACAGTGCTGCTTACCACTGAGCTACCGTACCGCCCTAGATAATATTACTAATAAACTATAATTCATACGGTATAAACACCTTTAGCGAAAAAGGCGAAATACAAGAAGACAATTGTTTGCATTACCATTCATTTTTCAAATAGGATCTTAAAGTGAAATGAGTATTTCTGAATGTATTTTTGTTGGTATTTTTTTATTGTAATTTTCTAACCCCCTTTGGGGATAGATAAAAATATTTTTTTGTTGAATTTGAATAATCATGTTGATACTAACAATATCAAAATAATTAAAGTAATAATGTAATATACATAATATTACTGAATTATATACACTATATATCAAGAATATTGTACATTAATCAAGGTAGCATCATGAGTACATGGTTAGCTGTGAGCTTTTGTTCCAGATGTGGTCTTAAAGTGAGTGTGTGTGTGTATTCGGTTAAAGTGTGTGTGTGTGTGTGTGTGTGTGTGTGTGTGTGTGTGTGTGTGTGTGTGTGTGTGTATTGAGTGCTGGTTTGTTCTCGGTCCCAGCTCAGTTCAGAGATGCTGTGTGGAAAATGTGCGGCGGACTTCAGACAGTCAGAAACACTGACGCTCGTACACACACACACACACCAAACGCTTCTGCCTTCAGAAAACCAAAGGGAGACATGAGCCACAACACACAGAGAGAAACCAACACGTTTGACTGTGTATTGGGCTTGTTTTTCCAGAATGCAAAGTTTCTGGACTCCAGCTTATGAATATTTAATAAGGCATGCACTGTTCTGTTTGTTTGATTGTCCATTTGATTTAATTTTTAATTTTTTTATTTTATTCAACTAATTATACACAAACATGTACGTACAATTAAGCATGTCTCCATTATAAATATGCAATGGAAGCCAGCTAGTAAAGTGCTATGCAGGTAGCCTCACTTCTCTGACCTCTAAAGGTGCTCTAGCGATAGATGCTAGAGGCCATGGTTTTTAGACTTCTTGTAAGAGCAAGTGACTCCCATCCAAAGAGTTGCTGGTTCGATCACAAATCAGAGAGGGTTGGGTGCAGTGGAATACATGTGGAGGCTTATCCAGGATGGAGGTTTAGGGGGTGAGTCTAACGGAGGTCTTCTATGCTACGAAGTGCTATGTCAGTAAACCTCACTCTTTTGACCTTAAAGGTGCTCTAGCGGCAGACAAAAGAGGCCTCGGTCTTTAGATTTCATGTTAGAGCAACCGACTCCCATTCAAAGAATCGCCAGTTCAATCCCAACTCAAAGTGAGTGGTGTGCAGTAGGACTGGTGGGTTACATGCGGGGGCTCGTCCGGGATAGGAGTGAGGTTTAAGGGGTGAGTGTAACAGAGGCCAGCTAGCTAAGTGCTATGCTTGTAAACCCCACTCCTCTGAGCTCTAAAGTTGCTCTCGCGACAGACCCTAGAGGCCATGGTCTTCAGCCTTCTTGTAAGAGCAACCAACTTCCATCCAAAGAATTGCCAGTTCGATCCTAACTCAAAGCGGGTGATGTGCAGTAGGACTGGTGGGTTACATGCGGGGGCTCGTCCGGGATGAGACTGAGGTTTAGGGGGGTGGGTCTAACGGAGGCCAGCTAGCTAAGTGGTATGCAGGTAAACCTCATTCTTCTGACCTCCAAAGGTTGTCTAGTGACAGACCCTAGAGGTCATGGTCTTCAGCCTCCTAGTCAGAGCCACCAACTAGAGGTCTGCATTCCAGCCGCGGGACCCGACCAGATTTCTACGGCGCGGGTATAAATTTCCGAATAAATCACGGGAGCGGTCGGTAACGGGTTTAATTTGGGATGGGAGCGGGCTGTCTAGCAATATCGCTCCCGACTCCCGAGTGAGCACGCGTATGTATGTGTGTAAATGAAATAGCGCGATGCTGTGTTTAGCTTGTTTGTTGCAGTGTGTGTGTGTGTGTATGTATGCGCACGCGCGAATGAGAGATGTGTGTGTGTGTGTGTGTGTGTGTGTGTGTGTGTGTGTGCGCGCACACGAATGAGAGATAGAGCTTTGCCTGTGTTTGTGCTTGGTGCTTATGAGTGTGAGTTAGAGGGCGCGCGCACGCGAATGAGAGAGAAAGCTTTGTCTGTCTGTGTGTGTGTGCTTGGTGCTGTGCGTGTGTGTGTTTATACAGACAGCTTGTTATAGGCTGTCTGGACTGTATAACTGGGTGATTTTCGGTTTTGTTTTCCCCCCGCTCTTTAGCGGGATCGGGCGCGACGGATAGAAAACGGAGCGGGTCGGGCAGCGGGACATCAAGTGCTTAATATAAGCGGGAGCGGTCGGGTTCCGGCTAAAACCTGGCGGGTGCGGGCTGGAGCGGGATTCAAAATTTAGTCCCGCGCAGATCTCTACCACCAACTCCCATGTTTGATTGATGTTTGATGTTTGTTTACATATATATAAGCATATAAAACAAAAGGATTAAACGTCTTATTTTTATTTTATTGATTTATTGTTAAATGTATTATTTTTGCAATTTATTTGATAAAAACTGGCACCCAATCATTGTATTTTATTTTATTTTACACATGTTTTACAGTAAAAAAACATACTATTCATTGATTTAAATTATCTATTTTTAAAGCTATTGCTGTCAGAACCTCAAAAATGCAACAGTGTAGCAGTTCTATGTTCCGTTTCAGAATAAAGCAGTTGCTATATATATATATATATAAACAAACTTTACACAACCTTGAGGAAATCTTTAAATACACCATGCAGAGTACAAAATAGAACTTTCATTCTCTTTCCTCTAATAACAGTTTGTGTGTGTGTGTGTGTGTGTGTGTGTGTGTGTGTGTGTGTGTGTGTGTGTGTGTGTGTGTGTGTGGTGTTATGTAAGCTGTGTTTGAGCTGTTAGTGAAGAACTGACACACTAATGACTTTAACAGAGGTTTTTCAGTCGCTCAGTCAAACTCCTCCACTACTCTTACACAGCCTGTCTGGAATGGACAGATGTTTCCTTCTGGGAGCACACACACACACACACACACTGATGTTCATCTGCTAATACTAGTTACGTTAGTGGATCTTATCAATGGTGTGTTAATCAGGACAGCTGCTGCTGATTGGTCAGCTATTCTGATTGGTCGAGGATGATGAAACATGAACTTGATTATGAGGGAAAGTGTGATTTGAATTGTTTGTGTAAACTGATGCATTTATTAACCAGTAAAATGTTCATTTAATCAAAGGTGGCATTAAAAAGTGTCATGTTGTCATTGTTCTTCATAACTTTTATCAATTTCTTCCTTCATATATGTGGATAATGTAGGTTTCGCCAG